ATCCTGCCACTCAGGTTTCTTCTGCCTCGTGGGCTAAGCACCCACCTGCTCTCATGCATGCGCATGCACGTTGAGCTCCTCGGTCCGTGTTTCAAGACGTGCCGGAGAGAGGAATTTCACCAGCATCCCGAACATGCAGGAACCTGAACGGGCCGGGCCCGCCAAAAGAGGCACGTGCTCAGGGTCCTGTACTGCCTACAGCGCTCTTCAGTTGCTCATAGCGCTGCTGGATGCTTGTGCCACAGTGCGACTTTGGCCACCGTGCACCAGAGGAAGGAAGGTGGCACTCTGTCAACCATAGCTAGGGCTAAAGACGAAGGCGAAGGCGGCCATAGCCATGGAGGTCGGAGGTTGAGGTGACGCAGGTGTATTGAGGGTGAGATCCTAGTAGGGAAGAAAAACAGTGAGGCGAGCAATAGATGAGTTGAGCACAGTAAGGTTGCGCGATACAAGTCAGGAGAAAGAGAGAGGGAAAAGTCGGGCACATACCTGAATCAAGCGGTTGTAGTTGAACCGGGGATACTCAAACTGCTGGATCTGGACTGAAAGTTGCTCCAAACCATACTTGCAAGCGGACATCGTCCGGGCGGTTCCGCACGTGCGGCAGACCGCCGGACCGGACCCGTGCGGTGCACGAATGTGCGCCCGACGACCAGTTACGCCCCACATCCCCCCCCCCCAAAAAAAAAACGGCCCCATCCGGTCCGGGTCCGTCTGGTCCAGGTGGAGGGTGCCGCACGCGGCAAAGCGGACCGGACGGGACGCTCGTCCGGTCCGTCTGCTTGCAAGTATGCTCCAAACACAGGCATAATGACTGTCCGTTCTATTCGAGGGAAGACGGTACTACTGGAGTTTGCAGCCCCTAGGCTGTGTTTATACACCAAAGGCACATCTTTCGTCATTGGCGCTATTGGCCATTGGTAATGAGAAAGCAGCCTTGCAAAGGGTGCAAAATTAGGGGGGGGCAGGGTTTGGAGAGGCGGCATAGAGCGGTTGGTGGGAGGAGGACCAGTCAAAGTACATTGTGGGAATTTGGGCCAACCGGTCCCCTTTAAAAAAGGGAGCAGTGCAAGAGGCTCATGCCCGCACGCCGTTGTCGTTTCTTTTCACCTATGGCAGTGAGGCCCAGGCCTGCTAAAGATAGAGTGCGCCGGCTTTGGTGACCTTTTGTGATCAGAGCACTTGACAAAAGAACTCTCAGAAAAAGAAAACAGAAACAAATCCCTGGATGGCAAAAGCAAATTGCTGGCGGCTTTTGCTTTTTTTCGTTCCTGCTACTAACGGTAGGCCCCTATCGTTTATCTTCAGTGGGCCAGGCTCGGAAAAGAAGTGCCACCTAGTTGAGCGTCTCTCTCTCTCTCTCTCTCTCTCTCTCTCTCTCTCTCTCTCTCTCTCTCTCTCTCTTTGTGGGGCAGGCTCGGACAAGAAGTGCCACCTCGTTGAAAGACTCTCTCTCTCTCTCTCTCTCTCTCTCTCTCTCTCTCTCTCTCTCTCTCTCTCTCTCGGGGGAACACGGCAGTTTCACCCATATGCATCACCACGAGTGGGTTTGCACTCAACAGCGCCAATCAAATCAAAATTTCCATCTCCCTCCTTACTCTCCGCATTTCAAAGCTGCACAATGGACCTTTTTTATTGTTTTGTTTTTTCGCTTCACACACACACACACACACACACACACACACACACACACACATGGGTTTTCTATTGTTTCTGAAAGGACAACGGCAGGTCTAGAAATATATCCACAGGTTACCGGCCCCAGGTAATTCGAGATTATTATGGAACTTATTGTAGATTCTATGTCATGGTTATTTGTTATCGAGCTTCAGAGTGAGGCTTTTTCTTCTTTTTTTTTGGTCAAGAGTGAGTTTTAGCAAACGTGAGAACTCTCAATTTACTAAAAAAAAAAAAAAAAAAACTCAAATTCCGCAGGAAGAATAGTGATAAACAGAGTCCATAGACTGTCCTTCGTGCATGCTTCGACAGAAAATTCCATGCTCAACAAGGGGCCTTCTCCTCGGATCCGCCTTACGCCACCCACCTACTTGCCTGACTCTGGGGTCATAGTAGACAGTAGCGTTGCGTAACATAAATGGATTCTGATCATAGAAAGTAACGTATCATAGATGAATTCTGATCATAGACGAATTATAGAAAATCACGTCCGATATGTGTGTCTGTAGAGGGTGTGGAAATTAAAGACGTCGCAAGAAATTTTCAGAGAGGAAAATCGAGGCGAGAGACGTTTGGAAGGTTACAAAAAAAAAAAAACTCTACTTACATTACAAAGCAGACTACTACTTGTTTAGGGAGGGAACGTTGGTTCAGCCGTTATCAGGAAAGTGAAGTGATGCAGCGTTTAAGCGAATTTTTTGGGCCGTTGTGCAGTGAAATTGCCTATTCTGTTCCATGATTTGGGATTTCTTTTATTTTTTTTAAGTGTGAATTCGAACCAAATCCAAATTTGTCCGAGCAACTTGTGCGAGCTTTTTTCCAGTGAAAATAATACTGTAGCTCCTCTCATCATCACAGAAGAAAAAGTAAAAAATAAAAATAAAACGTTTTGCTTTCCGCGAAATTGATAATTCAAGTTCTTGGAAAACGGTTCGAAACGCATGACCGTTGCTGGGTCAAAGGAGTAAAAGC